CAACCCCTCGGGGACCCTGCTTGTGGGGCAGTTTCACCCAGCCCCCAGAGCTTGCAGGTGGAGGACGGTCAGCTCCCCTCCTGGGAAGAGCCCAGCCACCCCAGAGACTGCGCCCGCTCACCCAGTTTCCAGCGGCCCATGTAGTACAGCTGGGTGCTGAGCAGCAGCGTGGACAGGATGTGGATGACCGAGAAGACGATCCAAAAGGCCATGTTGCCTTTGCCAAAGACCTGGGAGGACAGAGAGCCCCTGAACGCCAGAACCGGAGGGAGGTCAGCGGCTCGCAGAGGAAGTGAGAGCCAACCCTCTGAGGGACCTCTCTGGGAAAGGAAAAGTCCTTCCTGACAGCAGCCTCCCTTGGTCTCTCCACAAAGAATTAGCACCCCACGGGGAGCAGAGGCTCAGAGGGGCTGCCTGGGGTCCCGCGGGCTTGGCTTGGGCTCACTCACCACCCCCACGACCGAGAAGAAGATGATGACGGCCAGGCAGGCGTAGGCACTGTAGGCGCTGGCGTTGATATCAGGGTGCCTCTTTTGATACAGCTTCAGCATGCAGAGCCCGGCGATCATGTACATGAAGGAGGTGTCTGCCGGACAAGGGCCGCAGGCTGAGCGCAGAGAAGCCGCTCTCTGCACATGTGCAGGAGAGCAATGCCTTGCTCCTTTAGCCCCTGGCTGAACGGCGGAGACAGACCACCGGGGCTTCTGTGGGCCTCGCTCAGGCCTCGGGATCTAGACGAAGCCCGGCCAGGGATGAGGGAGGGGGCCCTGGCCCTGCTGCAAGCACCACTCACCAAACTGGAAGTTGGTATAGTTAGGGCACACGTGGTAGCAGGCACTGAGGAGACCCTCCATCATGAGTGCAGTGCCCATGGCATAGAAGAGGCCGAAGTGTTTGGGGATGCCACACTCCTGGAAAGGACGCCCACGTCTGAGAAAGAAGGCTCTTCCCCGTCCCCTTACAGACGGTGGCATCCAGCCCCTAACCTGGCCGGCCCCCGTTTCCAGTGGCCGCGGCCTGGAAGAGGAGGCCTCTCTGCGCTCTCCCTGGCATCCAGCCGAGAGGGGAGGAGGAAAGGCGCGAACAGCAACAGGCCTGTCTCCGGGCAACAGATGCGGCGCTGGGGAGAAAGCGGACGGGGCATGCCTCACCACAGCCTGGAAGTCATTGCGCATCAAGGCTCGGTTGTAGTTGATCTCGCGCTGCAGGATGATGAACAGGAAGAGCAGGCCCAGCAGGATGTAGCCCAGGTTGCTGAGGATGTTGTTGAAGGCGCTGGAAGAGCGGAAAGGGGTGGAAAGGGGTGATGTCAGGTCCCGCAGCCCAAGGAGCGGGTGATGCCCATCTCCTGGGTTCCTACCTGAGGTTGCTCAGAGGGTGTGCACAGAGGAAGTTGTAGTAGCAGATGTCCTGGTTCCCAGTAACGTTCACCACCTGCAGGAAGCAAAAGCGTGATTTCTTCGGCACCAGGGTCTGGCCTAGGGCCCAGAAAGCCTTCGGCACCAGGGTCTGCCCTGCCCAGAATGAGGTCAAGTGAGGTCAAGCAGCTCTGAGCTGGGCTTAGCCTAGGGTAAGGGGTCTGAGGGCCCGAGGTTGGCAGAGCCCTGGGTAGGAGGCCAGCAGCACTGTGTTACCGTCTGGTAGGTGATGACCAGCTGGATGACCGGGAGGGCATAGAAGACAGCAATGGTGGCAATATTCCTGTGGAGAAGGGAGGTGGGGTGAGAGGAGATTCTCCACTAGAGGACCCTGATCAACTTCCCGGGCATGTGGAGCCAGCAGGGTCTTTGGGGGATAGACAGCCAGCCCACAACCATCTCACCAGAAGTAAATCTGGTATTTCTTCCGCAACACTCGCTTGTCTTTGCGGGCCAGATCAGCGACACACAGGAATTTCTGCAACGAGACACAAGCATCTTGCTGAGCTTCAGTCTCATGAGGACACTCCAAACTCCCTCACCTCCTCCGGAAAACCTCCTCCTGCGTAGCCTGCACCTGGCGGCATTTCCAACGGGCCCCCTCGCCTCCTGGCACCCAAGAAGAGGCTCCTGCAGATAACTCGGGGGGCTCAAGTTGCCCCCCAAGCCCACGCAATCCACAAACTGCTCTTCCCTCTCTCCCCACTGCTCCCCAGGCCCCAAATCCCACAGCCATTCACAGTGCGCCCAACCTCATTCCATCCGGAGTGCTGCTACAGCCCGCTTGCAGCCGGACTTGCCCGGTGTCCTTTCAAGCTGCGCATGCGTGCACACACAGGTTCTGCAGAGCCCTCCTTCCAAAGACCAAAGGACTCAGACTACGCAAGGAGGGGCATCATACTTCTTGGCCCCTCCTCAAAGAAGCCACGTCTGTTCCTGGGCTTTGCAGCAGCAGCAGCTGCAGGGTCCCAGGAAAGGACGCATCTGGCAACAGGAGGGCTGACTGGAGCAGCACATGCTCTCCACGTCATCCTCCTCCTTCGCGTCTTGTGGCCTCGGAGCCGGTCCTCTCCCGCCGGGCAACCTTGGTGCGGATGACATTCTTGTCCGACTCGATGTCGGCCAGCGTGTCGTAATCATCCTCTTCCACGGAGCTGAGCGAGTCAAGCCGGGGGCGTCCTGCCACGTTCTCTAGGGAGCGATCTGGGGGGTGAAAGCCAGTGTCACTGCGAAAACCCCACGCTTTGAAAGTACCAGTCAGCCCGCGTCATCGAATTACCGATGGAGCCAACTGGAACCTGCTGGCCCTTCGCCTGTCTGGATGTTGAGCGGCCAGGAGGCCCCAGAGGTGGACAAAAGGCCCAGAGGCACCCACCCTCCTTTCCCCAAGCACCCATCGCCCTGCTGATTGGAAGCCATGCAGCCACCTGGCCTTGGGGGGGGGGAGGGGGAACATCATGCAGATTGCTGTCCACCCCCGTGAGCTTCCTGAGGGGCCTCATTTCCTTTAGTGCCAGAGGGAGATGGCCCAGCCAGAAGCTGGGTGTCCAAGTCCACCTCACGGAAGACCCAGGAAGGAGGGGGCACCCGAGCTCCTCCAGCCCCTCAGGAAGCCACAGTTCCTCCATCAAGGGAAAGGGATGGGATCTGGCATCCCATGCCAGTGCCTCTGCCAGCTGAGCAGCAGCTCAGCCAGGCGCCTGCACGCTCCAGGGCTTGAGAGAAAGGCAAGTCTGTGGATGCCCCAGGCAAAGCCCCCCATTCTCCGCTGTTCTGCTCCTCCCTCAGGAAGAGAAGGCCAACCGGAGACCCTGGGGAGGGGAACAGCCAAGGAAGAGGCTGAACCAGAGTGCAGAGAAGACGCCTTGCCCCACTGAGGGCAGTGGAGGAGGAAGGGGGAGGCTTGTGCCTCAGCCCTCCTCTTCCATCAAATCACGGCCATGTTTTCAAGCTCTCTGCTTGGCCTAAAAACACTTTTACAAAGAGGCGCCTTCTCTGCAGAGCCCAGAAGAGAGGCCTGGCCGCTGCTGCTGCTGGCCAAGGAGAAGTGCAAGCCAGGCAAGGGGCACCAGGAATGAGATGCCAGTCTCTCTACCCATTGCAAAGGCTGCCCAGTGTCTCTGCCGGTGCTGGCACAGATCTCGCCCTTGGGGAGAAAGGAAAGAGTCACACAAAGTGGACCCAAGCCCAGCCAACCAGGTGCACTTGGAAGCCAAAGAGAGCCCCCCAGAAGACCCTGCACGCGTGCAAGCTGCAGGCCTGGGCGAGAGGAAGCACCCTGAGCCACGGGTGCTGGGCCACGCATCTCACCAGCGTAACTGGAGGAGGCTTCCGTGGAAAGCAGGCTGTCCGTGACATTCTCAGTGCTAGTGGTGGACCCGGCATCCGCTGCGGAGAGAAGGGGGCCGCTGGCATGAGCAGTGCAGCCCGTCTTGCAGGGGCCAGCGAAGCATGGTGAAAGAGCCACCTGCAGGGCCCGGGCGGCAGCAAAGGACAAGACCTGCCCCCCATTCCCGACAGACAGGCACCCTCCCTACCCCATCTGGCTGGGAGGCTGGAACTCACCGAAGGACCCGTAACTCTGGCTGCTGAGAGGAGGGCGCCCCAGGAAGGAATCCGGGGTGTCCTGGGGATTCCCTGCAACAAAACAGCAACGGTCCAGCCCAGGAACAGGGGGAGCTGCCCCACCTGCCCGCGCCCTGGCCAGCCTTGGACTGGCCAGCTCTCTGGAGGGGAGCTTTGAGGATGAAAGCCCGGAGCGGGGGGGCCCCTGCATCTGGCTCTCAGGGGCTCGCCATCTTCACTGCAATGGAAGTGGGGCAGCCAGCCTGGGGCCACTTCCTCAAGCTCCCCTCCGAGCACAGAAAACAAGAGGGGTGGAGGAGGGAGGGCACTGGCTGCTTACCAAGGAGAGAAGCTTGGCGTGGAGCATCCCGGAGAAGGAAGGGAGGGAGGGAGGGGGGAGGGAGGGAGACAGAAGCTGTTTATGGACATAAACTGAGACAGCCACCCAAGGCAGAGCGGGATGCGTGCTGCTGTTCTGAAAAAACGGTTCTAGTGCTCATCGGCTAGATTCTCTCCATGTGCCAACTCCTGATCCAAGATTAACAAAAGGTAATCGCTACATCTGTGTAACACGCAAAACCAGCGGCTAAGTCCTTGCAACGCTCCGAACCACAAACTACCCTGGCCGCATTTCAGCGCAGTCCAGCGTGTTGTACGAATCCACCAGGAATTACGGAGCTGCGTTTGAAGCTGATTCAGCACTGGAGCTCCAGCAACTGAGCGCTGATCCCTCCGGGAGTCAGACCCCAATTGGGTTTCAGCACGCACCCTCCCACTCCCCTCCATGATTCGGCAGGAGGTGAGCAACCCTCGAGCCGAAGCTGCGCGAAAGGACAGGCACGTCCCCCGGCCAGAGACCCAGAAGCTGCCCTGCTGGGGACGGTCCGCCCCCCACTCCCTACCTCGTACGCCCCTTTCTGGACTGGGGGTGTCCGCAGCACTCAGGAGCCGTAGCTGCCTCTGCCTCTGCTCCCGTCGCCTGTAAAGAAATGAGCCTCCTCTGAAAGACAGCGCACCCCTCCGGGCCAGTAGGCTGCCTTCCCCCTGAAAAGTCCCCAGCAGGGCGCAGAGAGCACCCAGGTGGGCACTGAGCCTGCCTCAGGCCAAAGTGCACCGCATCCTGCCCAGGAGGAACAGGCATGGGCTGACGTGAATGCCGCTGCCCCAAAGGCCGAGACTCCAGGAAGTGGAAAGAACCCCCCAGGCACGTTGGAGTCATGCCACAAAAGCGGAGCAAGGCCATGTCCTCCTGCTGCCACAAAGCCCCTACTGCCAAGGCAAAAATGGGATTGGACGAACACAATGGCGGCTGCAGCTGCAGCTACCGAGCTATTCTCAACAGGAGAAGTGCACACCCCGGTGGAGCCTGGACCCGGAGCAGACTCACCGCCAGATTTCCCAGCAGGCGATCAGCACCGTCAGCACGTAGAAGGACAAGAAGACGCCCAGGCAGAAAAGGATCCCATTCACATAGGCCTCTGCTGCAGGCAAGCGGGGAAACAGCGTCACACCCCGGGGAAGCCTTGCCAGAAGCCCCCTGGTAGGCAAAGAGCCTCCCCTCACAAGTGGCTTCCTTCACAGCCTGTTGGCCTCTTTCAGCCACCAACCTCCAACTCCAGGTTCCCTGGACATTCAGGCCCATTAGCTCTCCCCCGCCCCCGCCCCACAGGCCCTGTGCCACCTGCTATTTAGGTCTACAGGGAAGCCAGCTCCAAGTCAGGAGCGGGAGTTGTGGGCAACATCTCCCCCAGAAGGGCCACCGTCCTGCTCTCCTTCCTTCTCCAGGCGGGGGCAGAGGCAGACCCGGGGCTTACTTACAACTGACAGCAGGAGTCACCACCACATTCAGGGTTTTCTGGCGGTTGCCTTGGTCAACAGGCTCATCTGGAATGACACAAAGGCCTGGATCAGCTGACCTGCAGCTCTCCCTCCCTCCGTGGTGATGGCCGCAGAGCCCTGGGAACTGGCCTGACCCTGAGGGTCCTACCTTGGCCACTAAATGAGCCACCTCCTGGCCTGGAGGCTTCAAGCCCTGAGCTCAGGTGCTGGGGCTGTGACAGGGTTACAGGGAGCACTCAGGGGGCTCCTGAGACAGGCCACCTGCTTGTCCCAAAAAGCTAGCTGTAAAAGCAGAAGCTGGAAAGCGGAAGGACTCCAGGCCTTCCCTGTTCTTCCGTGGCCTTTTAAAAACATTTCCAGAGTCTCTCCAAGTGCCGGGTTGCCTCTCCCTGCCCAAAACGCCTCCTTATCTCCTTCCCCTGTATTCCAATATGCACATCTGCTTTGCCCCCAAAAACGCTACGCTGGTGGAACCGGCCCAACGGGGTGGGTGGAGCCGCGGAAGCGGCTCTGGAGCGCAGACCCCCTTGGGCGGCAGCCTTGCTCCCACCAGTGGACCAGCGAGCAGGCCAGACCGGGTGCGGACTCTCTTGGGAGGTGGCGTCCAGCCCCGGGGGAACAGGGCAACCCCTAGAGCCCTCAAGCACAAGGCTCCATCATCATACCTGGATGCTTTTCTAGCCACCACCAGGTAGCAGGGCCTCCTAGACAGAAGCTGTGCCTGCAAGCAGACCTCTGCCCCCTCAGCCCAGCTTCCTCCCTGTACCTTTGGAAAAAGGGTAGTAATGCAACGCTCCCCCACAAGCTTCATCTTCGGTCTTCACCACAACAACCACGTAGAAACTGTGGCTGGGGAAATCCTTCTTCTGTGAGAACCAAGAAATGAGAAGACCTTTGACTGAAGATCAGAAACACCCCCAGCAGCTCTTAAGACCTCAACGCTGGGTAGCTGGAGGCTCTCTGTTCACCCTTTCAGGTGTGCTGGTTCCTACTCGCTACAGGCAGCGCCTGTCCAAAGCCTCCAGAGACCGCGTCCCCTCTCCTCTGAAGACCGCTGCTTCTGGAGCCAGGGGCAAGGTGAACTGTTCGGCCAACCGGTACCACTGCCAGGGCTGGCTAATTGATGCCACACAATACCCCAGGTAACAGGGAAGCTGGCACGGGCCAGTCAGATTACAGGGCTCTGACCGCCTTTGGGAAAGGTCCCGGCTGATCGGTCGTACCTGCACCGTGATGGCTGCCTTCTTGGTCATAGTTTGGTACGTGCCAATGAAAGCCACGTTGTTATCCAAGTCGTAGACGGGACACTAGGCAACAGGAAAAGAGACAGGAAAACGGGGCAGAGTCAGCCTCTTATGTGAGAGAAGACACGGAGCCTCCCGTGTCCTGTGGACACTCCCCACTGCACTGACCAGAACATCCTGGACGGAAATGACCGAACAAGGGAATGCCGTGGATGAGGTCACTTTAACGATGGCAGAGTCCACGCCCTCTGGGAACTCGTACTTGAAGTACTGTTGGTCAAAAAGAAAGAACCACCCTAGAAGGCCCCTGGGTGACGATGAGGCTTCTCCCTCCTGTGGCGCAACACACCCAACCTGGCACATCTTCTTTATCTGCCAGGTGCCCTTTCTGAGGCCAGGAAGCTCCTAGGAGCACCTCCTCAGGGAAGCCCGGAACAGCCGCCTCCTGCTTTGGGACCCTGCACGGCCAGAAGAACCGTGGCAAGGAGGCCGCAGCTCAGCAGATGGAGCAGCCTCTGGTCCTCCCTGTGTGATGGACACCCAGCCAGAGGGCAACCAGAAAGGCCTGTCCAAGTGCTAGGGGCTAGCTGGGCAGAGCATCTGACTGCTTGTGGGAATACGTGCGTCCTCAAAGCCAGCCTAGCCCTCCCCATTTGACAGCCAGGCCCAGAACTCAGAGGCATCCAAGCCTCGGCTGGAGGGTCGTCTTCTTCCCTGTGGGGCAACGACCCCCCCCCC